GGGGCTGCTCACAATCACCTTTCTTCCCTCATTGCTCCTAAGGAATAACAAGTTTAGGAATTAGGTATTGGATATAATTCCAGTAAGAGTCTGTTGAGTTTGAGGATGTTTTTTACAAAACTAAATAAAAATTGCACCATCACCACCACATGCTCCCCCAACCCCCAAACATCATACACTTGATAATGGCCATTTCTCTTAAAAGAACACTGTCACTTTCTTGAGGCCAGATGTTAAGTTGGAAAGGTTTGGGAAGATATCAGAGTTTAAAACATTATATGACCGGCGTTTGTTTAGAGTGTATGTGTGTGTGTGTGTGTGTGTGTGTGTGTGTGTGTGTGTGTGTGTTTCTTTATCTCATCAGGTATTGGTGAATAAATAGTTCACACCCTCCCAGAGAATGCGTCCTTTCTTTTCTTTAAACAGTGACTCCATTGATCCTGTTTTAGAATTTCTTCCCTTGTTTCTCTCTTCCTTCTTGGTAACATTGTTTTTGAAGCCTTAAATTGAGTCAGGAGTTCCCAGAATATTGCTTTTTCTCTTCTACCATTTTCAACTATAGGCAAAGAGGTTTTTCCCCCCCCCCAAAAAAAAGTCATACTTCATTCCAGGCACTACAGCATAGCACATCGGTTAAGAAGGTAGATTCTGGACTCACACCTGTTATTTGAAGTTTATCTTGCTATTTAACAGGCTGTGTGACCTTAAATTAATTTTTTAGCTTCTCTGTGTTTGGGGTTTCTTATTTGTTTAAAATAGCCATACCTTCCTTATAGAATTATTGTAGGAATTAACTAAGTTGACACATGAAAAGAATAAGTACTCAATAAAGTCCTGTAATTGAATTACATAATAGTAATATTCATCTTTGCACCTGAACATGAAGACAGGTGCAGAAATGAGTGTAACCAATTAAACCATTTTCCTACTGCCGACCAGTTACCTAAGGACCACTCGTCAGGTTTCGGTTACTAATATCTCAGGGAGACCATTCTCTCCTTTTTCATTATTAAAGTTTTCCTCAAAAGGCAGAACATTTCCAGTATTCCTGAAATGAATGTGTTGAGGAAATCTTTCCACTCCCACTATTCTTTAAACAGCGCCGAAGTTTGGAAAATTCTTTCCAAGAGTATACACGCATGTACCTGGTCCTTGCATACAGGAAATTGAATATGCAAATCCAGAAAGCTGAAGAATTAGCGCTAAGAGACTGAGAATGGGTGAACATGTTACTGTGAATGAACTGTAGCAATCCGACAAACTGTCTGGCTTTCAGACACCATCACTCAGTGTGAGCTCTCAGGGTCCCAGAAACCCAATGCTGTTTTTCAGTCCTTGCTCCCTGCCTGCTTTCACCTGCCAGGCAAGGAAATAGGGTAGGAGAAGAGAAACTTGAATTTTGATCCCATAGCACAAACCTTCATGATTGTACTTTTTTTTTTCTTTACCACCTACAGGACCGACTCTAGAAAGATAATAAAACATTTTTTTTCGATAAGTTCATGTTCTGTATTTAATCTCCGTAGAGAGGAGGGTAGATGACCGAAAAGTAATAATTCCTAAATTATGAAAGTAAATTTCTTTCCTTGCTCTAGTCAGAAAGGGCCTTTTAATCTTATTTCTAGACTAAACCATTCTATACTCCAGTTATCACTTTTGCTTGGGGGCAGGTGCTCAGTAGTTAATATTCAGAAAGTTTCATTTTCCAAATAAGTTAGATTCTTCCCCGGTCAATAAGTGACTCATTGTACAATGGATTAGGAATTAATATCACAAATGACATACACTTCTTTCCCATGATCTGCTTAAGATGTGTCACATAAGAACTCTTCCAGCTATTAACCTTTCAAAAAAATTAGTTGAAAGAAATTCCTGAGGCTTTCAGCCCAGCCCTTGTATAACCTGCGCTGTCTTGTTTTGTTTTACAAAGCCATGCAGGAATGCCCCCCATTCACAAAAGGAGCTGGTACCTAAGCCAATAACTCAGTGGCATATTCAGTCTGCCATTCAGGGAATCTGTGTGTGGCATTTGCTACAATTGCTTACTCTCTAACTTAGTGTTTAAGAACAATTGTCTTAGTATTGTTCTTATCAACCTAGCGCCAGAGTCAGTATTCAGATTAAACCAAGATACTGTGTCTGAAGAAAACGTACTCTGGCTTTTCTTAGATTCAAGGTAAAGGTGTGGTTTGGCCACATAAGCAGCATTGTGTGGAAATGCAAGGCAGGCGCTTCTGCAACATGACCTGACTGGGATCTAGCTCTCTTCCCACAGTTCCTGCTCTGAGCTCCCACAGCACTTCTTAAGCCACCCAACTCAGCCTTTTCATGAAGACTTTTACTCTCTACTGAAGCTTAATGTGACTTTCTTTCTTTCTTTCTTTCTTTTAAATGCTGCCCAAAGCTCCTTGAGATCAGGGACAATGACTTATGTTTGTTAAGCATGCTTAGCATTGTTAGCGTAGACCAGAAACCTAGGAGACCCGGTGATGTTTGGTGAATAACTACGTGTAATACTCTTCTGTTGGTGCCTATAGGACCTTGTAATGGAAATACCACTACTATTCCAGATATTTTATTACTATTAATGTGTATATGTAGAATTCTAAGTACAGAGTTTACTCACAAGATAAAGACATTTTTAGATAAACAAAAACCAAGAGTGTTTACCCCTAGCTTTTCACTAAAGAAACTTCTAAAGGACATACTTCAAAGAGATGGAAAATAATCCTCAAAGGAATGTCTGAGATGCAAGAAAGAATGGCGTGTACATAAATAGGGTAAATACGTCCAAATAAGTTATTAATCACAGTAAATGTAAATGTAAATGTACAAAACTCACCAGTTAAAAGATAGAGAATGTTAGGTGGCATTTTTAAAATATTTTTCTAATACCGACTGGGTGCTTTTTCAAGAAATGTAAAACTTTGATCCTCTGCTGGTGGGAACATAAAATGGTACACTACTTAGCAAAATAATTTGACATTAGCGCTGTAGTTTAACATGCGCAATCCATGAAACCCTGGGATTTCTTTCCTAGTGACATACCTTAGAGAAATCTGCACTTATGCAGCAAGAGTTATATTCAGGAAAATTCATAGCAACATTGTTGTAAAGGCAGAAACTGAAACAACCCAAATATTCACAGACAAATGAATGATTAATCGACCTTGGTATATTCACATAATAAAACTATACAGCAGTGACAATGAAAATGAATGAACTACAACTATAGGCAATAACATGGAGGAATCTTAGAAACAGTATTGAATGAAAAAAAAAACAAACTGAAGAAAGTTATAAAGCGTATGAAATACCCAACGGGACAGCATCACAAGCAGCAAGCCTGCCTGTCATTCCTTTTCTGGGTCTCCGTTCAGGTCGATGGCCCCACCATCTACCCTGTCACCCAGGCCAGAAACCTGGGACTTGTCCTAGATTTCTTTTCTCTCCCCTCTGTCTCATTAAAAATTATCCCTCATAAATCTCCTCTCCTCATTGCTGTAGGACTTGGGTCCTCCTGCCAGGGCACCTTGAGGCGTTCCCTGCCTCAAAGATTATCTCTGGTTTCATCCTCCGTTGTTACCAGCGCATATTCATTCTAAAATGCAAATCTGACATACAACACCTGCATTATACTCTTAAGTGCCTTCCCTTCCCTCAGGATAAAGTCTTGGCTCCATCATCTGGCACTCGAGGTCGTTATCATCTGGTCCTTGCAACTTCCTGCTCCTCAACCTTGCTGCTCCAGCTCTTCCCTCTGCCAGTCAGGCCTTCTGAAGCCTCTAACACTATATACCCCTGTTCTGCACCCTGCTCTACCTTTAAAGAGTTGGTGTGTATATAACATTTGCTGATAGAGCCAGGCACCTGCAAAGTACTTTATGGACCTGACATCACATGATTCTCAATCGCCCTATGAAGTAGGTACTGTGATTCCCCATTTTTCAGAGGACACAAAGGCATGGAGAAGCTAATATAGTTCACCAGGGTGGTGCAGCTCATAAACAAAGAGCCAGGATTTTAACCCAGGCTGTCAAATTATATGTCTGTACCTGGTACATGAGCTTTTGCAATTGGTAGTTACACGGCTGCCTCCCCCGCTCAACGGTGCGCTTTTGAGTGCAGATACCGTGTCTTCAGCCATCTTCCTATCATCTGTATAACTGGGATCCAGCGCTTGTCACATAGTAGGCACATTAGTATATGCAGGGATGAAGGAGTCATTGAAGTGATGTAAAGTCTCATAAACTGCATGAGACGTGATAACTGAGAGTGTGCAGGGGTAGGATAGATATAGCAGTATTTCAGCCACCATGTATTTTGTCCCTGAGGACCTCACAGAAGTAAGAATGTTGTTGCTGCCTTTGAGAAGAATTTGGTTTAAATGAAAAACTTAAGTAGTTGAACGAATTTAAATATTGAGTTTTAAAAGTTATTTTCATTCCTGTTACCAGTGGACATTATTAATATTTATAGGAAGCAACTTACCTTGTTAAGGATTCACCATGTCTAATAGCTAACAGCAACAGCCATTTAATTACTGGCTTCATCAAGATGTACAGCAGACAGACTTCCTAGTGCTTTGAAAACTGCTGGCCACTTTTCATACCAGCCTTGCTTTGCGAGGGGTCTTAAACAAGTGTAAGCTTTCTGTCTTCCGATGGTAAATTAGCTTTATCAGTTAAAATGGAAGGGAGGCTTCCCAACCCAGTTGAGATGTCAAGATTATTCATCTTGCAGAAGAAAGATCTCAGTTACTATTTTAAATGCAAAACGAATATGCTTAAAATATGAGTATACTTATATTAAGTATGTGGTTTCTGGAACTGTCCTCATGGTCTCCGATGTTCTTTGTAATAGCAACATGCTTATTTCATAAACCAGAGCCCATATAGGAAAAAGCTTCTCTCCCCCTACACCCCCCATGCAAAGGCTTATGACTGAATGAGGAAAAAAATTAATTACATGAATATTAAGAGGTTACTTATCTATTATAGCATTGGGCCACAAGTTGACTAATTAGAAGGAATGCTGGTTGGAAAGCTGCCACAGATCTGCTCCTTTCACTTAGAGGGCCACAGGCTGAAGCCAGTGATTGTGCGTGACAGACCCTGGGAACAATGGTGCAGCGCACAGGCCGTCCAGATGAAGCATGCTCGTCTGAATTACTCCAACGACGGGGTGGCCTACAGGCAAACAAAATGGTTAAACAATACATAATCAAGTTTTTATTTGGTATTTCCTGCGAGGCTATACCAGTTGCCAGGGAGTGGACTGTATTTTTTTCTTTGGCTGTATTAATTGTTGATCATAGCTGGCAGAGCACCAAACAGGGACAGATAAGGGGGAAAATGGCATCTGGACATTAAAGGCCCAAGTGTACTGGGGGGGGAAAGAAAGCACAAAAAATTACAGCATATATCAGGAATTTTCCAACTAACGATGTGCGGATGTGGTAGCGCAAGGGGAAAAGAGCCAAACTGAGCTTGCTTTGTTCACTAAGAGAGGCCCCCCTGTAACATTCCTTTTAGCTGTGCATATTTTGGCTTCATTTGTACAGTTTTAACTTTATACTGTGTGTGGAGAAGCTCAGTTGTAACTGGTTATTCCTAATAATTACATTGCAATAATTAAAGTTCATGGATAGCTGTTATGTCCTTAGTTATTTAGACGCTGTTTCAAAAACTAAGTCTAAGCTGAAAACGTCTTTTAAGTGACATGCCATTACTGTATAAAAGATGGCAACAATTATTTTCTTTGATTTCACAACAGTTTTTCTTTTTTTAAAGACAGTGTTCATTTATGGAGACAAACAAGAAACAATGTCTTAAAAACGTGGGATATGAGGGGGGTTTCCAGACTGGGAGTGACTAGATCTTATAGCCTGCAAATAAAATTGTCCCCAACTGGTTTGTGAAAACATGAAAATTTGTGATAGGGATAATCCTTTGCTACTTTTAGATTCCATTTAAAGTGCAAAAGTAATATATAAATACTAGTAAATCTATTGCAGAAACAAAGTATTGCCGTTTCATGACCTCAGTTGGAAGTCATATGTTACTGTTTTAATTCAGTAATAAAATGAAAAATCTCCAACTGAACCCAGCTCCCTTCTTGAAAGATTGATAAGTCTTGGCATCCCCAGTAATAATAATTATAATGTATACCAAACCGTTAGAGCTGTGAAATATATTTGCCAGGAGCTTCTTTTGCAATGGCGGTGATCTGTCTGCATGTATGGCTCTCAGACCCCGTGGTTACACCTGCAGTCTTTGAGGCTACACTGGGTTTGAACTCTAGCTCTGACACATGGTTAGCTGTGGGACTTTACTATAGTTATTAATGTATTCTGAACATCAGTTTCTTACCTAGAGTATGGGGGGGGGGGGGGAAGCAGTGCTTATCTCACAGGATTATTATAGGATTTAAATGACACAAAATTCATAAAATTCTTAGTGAAGTACCTGGCATCCGGAAAACCCCCAATGAACTCTGGCTATTGTTATTACATCTTCTGTGTTGTGAAGCTCTGGGGTTTCTTTTAGCTTCTCAAAACATTGTTTCTAGTCAGTGTCTGCATTTAGAGTTGAAGATACTTAATCACTCATTGACTTCTACAGCAGATAGCAAGGATCGGGTTGTTTGGTCTGCAGTGGAAGCCGGGGCAGTGGTTTTGGTCACTCTCAAAACATTCTTTGAGAAGCTGAAACTTTAATCACTTTTCAGATGCACTTATTAAACCCAATTACTAGTTGAGAGAAACTGAAAAACATTATCCTCAAATAGCATCATTCTTCTCAAAATGGACTTCTAACTACAGGACACACATGCTTTCTGATGTTATGGACAGCTGCCTGGTAGCAAAAAGGCCAGCCATTTCTGTCTCATATGTTATTGAATGATTTTCATAAGACTTATTTTAATGCCTTTTGTGCATGTTGTTAACATTTTCTGGTGTTTATTCTTCATTTTTGTCCCTAGAAGTCTTAACCCTTAACCTTAAACATGTGTTAGGGGGGCATAGACTCTGAATATTAGAGTTGCATGATTCGTTTCAACACCCCAGGAATTTAGGGTTGTCTTCGTTCCATAAAGGGCAACAGTATTTAATGATGATCAATGTATACATCCCAAACATTTTTAAATCCACAAAATATCTCATAGGCATGAGATAGACATTCGTTAACATAGACTTGAGTCCTTGCCATCAGACCAGGTTTTCTGAAAGTAAATCTTCATGTCCTGAGAACATTTTGAGGCCTTAAATAATATTATTGTTGAGTAACTTCTTGTGAATCCTTGAGTAAAGACTGTAATAGAACATACACGTATGTGGTACGTTGTTGTTGTTTTTTAATAGGATCTAATTAGCATTAGGAATAAAAGATTATTAATTCTCCCCCACCTAAACAATAACAATTATAATAATAAGCCGAATGTGGTCAGCTTTAACTTAAAACTGGAAAACGCCCTTTTCATTTCTACAATTGGCCTTTTCTCTTCAGCTGCTTTTTAAGTTGGGCTGTTAGCAATTTAGCCTGTCTTTAATTTTAAGCACCATTCTTCCAGTCCGGAGATCCCTATAGGAAGCCCCACTCTCCTAGCCTCGCCTCTCATTGGCTAGCTGGGAAAAGAGCATTTCTGCATAAATTGGATGCTTCCTTCTCCCCTGGAGACCAAATATGCTCATGTTTCACAATCCCCTGGTTTGTAAGCTTGAGTCCATTGCCTGAAGCTGGAAACTTTCACTTTGTAGAACACAGCACACATCGAAATCCAGATTTAATCCCCTTGACGTGCCCGTGGGTCCGATAGGAGATTGAATACATGCTTCTTAATCCAGTGTTTCTGAGCTGCCCCGACTGAAATCAGAAACCGATGTGCGTGAGAAGAGGTGTCCTTCAAAGAAAGGTATTTCCTTTGTGCAGCCCCAATGCGCACAGAATCCAAGGGGTTAACCTGAGAGCTGCTTTGAAAACAGAGGCGAAGGTCACTGGCGGCAACAGCAAAGACTTTTAAAGCCGTCCGTCCTGAGCCTTTCACCCTGCCTTTCCCACCCAGGGGATTGTAAACATTGGCTCCCAGCCACCACGTCCCACAGCACAAAACTTCTCTGTGCTTTCAGCATATACGTGTATGCTTTTGCATGGAAGCTGAAGCAAAGGCGCATTATTGCTGCGAGCACAGAGAGCATGTTTCTGTTCAATGAAAGGGGAGGAATCCTGTGCCGCTGGAATGCCAAAGCCGGCAGATACGCTATTGAGCGGTGTTTCACATGGAACTTAGCTGCTGCTCTGAGCCTGACTTTTCTCAAGGCAAAAGAATGTGTAGAATGCTGTCACTTAATCAGAACCCAGAAGAGCTCTTTTATCTGCCATTTGTTAGGAACTGGCCATATTAGCCCTTATCTTTGTCCTTTAGCCCCATCCAGTGCCCTCGGATATGAGAACTGTTAACATAAAAGGACTTATTACCTTGAGCATTGCTGCCGCTTGGCTTTTAAAACTCAGCGTTCTTTAGTCACCAGCAAAGACGTTGAGAGATTTTCTTTCATTTGAATCAAGTTGTCTTAGTCTTAGGACCATAGTTGTGTTTGATAATGTTTAACAGAATCCAAGATGACGCGTATATTTATGTTGCCACTTATACCTGAGTCTTCAAAAGTCTATTATTATCCATGTAATTTATCATAATGACCTCCATTAATTGAGTTGCATGAAGACAGAATGGAATTTCCAGAGATAATATATGGATAGCTTAACTTTTTCCCTCCTGAGCTTTTTAATATGTTGTACAAGGGTTAATAGCATTCCGTCTACCAGTAATTTCAGTCATCTGATATAATAGATTTTCTCTTCAGTGATTGCTAAAGGCATGAACGGAGAATTCATTTTGATCCGTATTTTACAGTAGGTAGGGGCAAAAAAATTATAACCTATACCCTTCCTTTTTGCTAGTCTTTTTTTTTTTAGAAGGGATTGTATTTCATGGGCAGACATATAAAACTTACCCCTCTCTTCTGAAATGGCAATTATGAGCATATTCTGTAATAAATTGGGATGCTTGCCTATGGAAAGTACAGTCAGTCACTGTGCATTCCTGTTTGAATAATGATGCTTGATTCTGAAAAGAATTGGAGACCAGAGCCCCTACCACACTGCACAGACATGCTGACGTGACGGCTCTCTAACCTATAACTACAGTTGATCAGAGAGATGCCTTAGCCTTTTGTCTCTCAGTCTAAAATGACTTTTTCAGGTTCTTCACAGTCTCTTCTGGAATTCCACTTTTGCTTTATGGAATCACAAATTTTGTTGGGTACTAATTAATTTTAAATTTTCCTCTTGATCAAAGCTCCATTTCTTTAAATGTGAAGTTTCTGTGAACAGTGTCACTGACCTGGATATATGAGTACGCAGTACAGTATCCAGGTAGTGTCAGTGATCGTGAAGAATTTATCTGCTCTTGATTATAGGATTCTAGGGTTGAAAGGACTTTAGAAATCATCTCTGTGTTCCCTGGGTTGGGGAAACTAGGACCCAATGATATAAAATTACTTTTTTTGCAAGATAACACACAGAGGTTATTTAGTGGTATATTTGAGGCTGAAACCCAGGTGTCCAAACCTCAATCCAGGATTCTGTCCCTTACTCCATCCAGTCTTGTGCCCCGTGGACTGGGGGATGAGTTTACCGAGGACCAAAGATGAGATTATAGGTGGCTGGTATTTGCATCGCGGGTGTACCTCGGCATGGAGAAGTCTGAACATGTGCGGAGATGGTTTGTAACTGAGCAGGAGGTAACATGAAGTCTTGGTCTCTGCTTGTTCCCAAGGCACCTGGTGGCCAGCATATCAGCCATTCACTTCATCAGTGTGTCACACCCCGATTTCACTATGACTTGTTTCTCACAATTTCTGTAGAAGCTTAATTTTATCTTGCCTCTTCAAGTGAGAATGACTTCGCATTACAACAGTGAACTCCCCATAAAAGCTGACAGTGTAGCTAAAGCTATGCTCGGAGGCTAATTGAGAGCACTAAATGCTTCTATGACTAGATG